GTGCCGATTCCATGGAAACTAAGGCAGGATTGTCTGAAGAGGCAAGGAGAGGGTAATGCTCTGATTCAGAAATGGCTGCCTACACTGCATCAAAGCACAGTAGGAAGACTGAAGGACGGGGCTCAGGTGTGTGTGTCAACTCTTTTAAATCGCCGGAGACACAAACACATTCACTTCAGGACGTGTGAAAGGTGGTGGATTACTGACGTGATGAGAAAGTCCTGATAAGAGAAATGGGTAAAGCAATCTTAGAAGGAAGGAAATGATTTAGAACTTAGAGCCTTAAAAATATTGAAGAGTAAGTCTGGCCCAGCGGCTCTGAAGGATCACAGCCATTGATTTCAGAGGACATAGCACTTGCTTTAAGCTAAGGGATCTGAACTCCTGTAAAAAGTGAAAAGGGATTACATTTCAGCTTGTAGAGTTCAAAGCATGACTGAGAGACAAAAAATTGGGAGCAAACAGCCTAACCATGTTCAGCTTAGAGCTGCTGGCTAAGGCAAGCCTAGAGGGTCTTTTGAAAGTGGGGTGCGGCATTACAAAGGCCTGGAGGTCTCGCCGCTGTTATTTACCTCATCCTTCCATGACTTGCTTCTGTTCACACAGAGCTGACATAGTCGCCATCTTATTTGATCTCTTCCAAAATCCTGTGAGATGCCCCCATCCGTAAGAATAAAACTCCTAGGTATAGATCTTCCCAGCTGGGGCTGGTCACATTGAAGTACAGCTCGTTCCCCTTGATGAAGGCATTTTGTTATTTTTTTTTAATAATAAGCTTTAGATGCTCACTTTAAAATGTTGTTGCTGCTAGATCTTACATCCAACTTTGTTTCCTAGAACTAGTCATCAGCTAAACATTTTTTGCCCTGTTGGAATGTTCATAACTTTCTAGTCCTCTTCGGTCATCCACCTGGGGTATTCAAAACATTCTGAGTTCTGTTTCCCTCCCCAAGAAAAGTGAAATCTTAAACTAATTCCAAGGTTAGAAATTGTGTTAGTACCAATCCGTGTTGTGGTTTTATAAATGTAGCTTAAATTAAAACATCTGGCAATGAACTTATTGCTCCTGATGTTTAATTCAATCTTGTCTGTCTCAATTATATGATTGAACTTGTAAATTGCATCCAGGAGGGCTGTAGAAATTCATGTTAAATATTTAACTTGGGTTCTTGAGAGATAAGAATTGCTAGAAATCAAGCATCTTATGTTTCTACAACCATTTCCTAGCTCATCCATCAAAGACCTTGTTTGAAACACAGTTTCTGTGGATACGTAAGAATGATTGTAATGGAAAAATTAGAAGGTTTGGGATTAGATGAATCTGTCTCAAATCTTAGCTCCACTTTGTGATCTTGGACATGTCAATGGACGTCTGGCCCATTGTCTACAGGGTGCAATTAACCCTACTTGTCACTTATGGCCATGTAATTTGAGAATTAAGTAGAACAATTTATCTGCGTATACAAAATGTTCAGAATGACACTGTTGCTAGTCTGACAACTGAGTGAAGATTTATGAGATAGTAATAAGTTTATTAAGGCAAGGGTCATCTGCAAATTGATTTGTTACTGCCATTTTCTATTATATTTATAGTAGGGCTTCTCAGTTATATATTTAAAAATAGATGTGTATTAAAAAAACCATTGTACAATTATTTGTGATTGAACAACTTAAGCTGCTGGACGATACAGAAAGGGAAGAATCATGCCACATTTATAATCCATATTTTATATTCACTGCTGTAAGATCATTGGCACCTTCACACCAAAATATTATCAATAGTATTTTATAAAGCTCAATTTTAGTAATACTTTGTTTCTCACTAAAATTTTCAGCATGTTTTTTGCAAAGTACGTACAATATATTTTCTTTGCATGCTAACATGGCGTGCTTACCGGCGGACCCTGCTTCATTTGCTTTCTTTTAACCTTTCTGAACTGCTAAGTGTTGTTCTGTCTTTCTCATCTCATGTCGTCCACTCACCCTCCTCTGTCTTTGGAGTTTCTCTCACAGGTTCTTTCTCCCCTCCCAGACTACACCATGCTCTCCGGGGCACATACAAAATGACATCAAAACTAGCCTGCTCAAGACACCAACTAAACAATTTTTATAGAGCCCCACTGAATGAACATATCTTTCTGACACCCGTTCACAACCCACAAGTGTATCGAACTCACAGGACGTGAGTGGTGAGGCTCCTTTACGAAGCCCTTGGTCATCTTCTAATTGCTTTAAAGCTCATGCTCTGTGAAATGGCCATTTTCATTAAGATTTGATTGCAGCACCTTCCACTCAGTTTCCATCACCTGCTCAACCTCTTTCCATTACACATCCCCACCCTTTTTAAGTTATCTTCAACCAAAAAGACTTCTGAGTGACAACCACGCTCTCTAAACTTCTCTAGTTGTTTGGATGATAATGCAATGATAGTCAGGTATGAATTGCAGCAAGCTAAATTCTTATGAGCTTGGTTCTTGTATCTATTGGTTCCCAATAATCACAATCCTTTACACAACCACGTTTAAAGGTCAAAATAGGGATTGGTCAGAAGAGTGCCAGTTTATCATCTGCGAGGCTGAGTTGATCTTTCTTTTTTAAAAGTAGGTCTGGTGAAATGAATAAACCACGAGAGAGGTGATTGAGCAAAGCTAGAGGAAATTAGGCCAGATAGAGCAGTGAGCCAAGCCATTCCCTCAATAGGAAGAGCCAACATGAACACAAAACCTGGGGTGCATATGCAAAACCAGCAGTTGAGTTTAAAATATGAACCAGTTCTGAATGAGGACAGATAGATGATAAGCGATGGAGGTATCTGGGGTTTTGGCCAAATGTCAGGTAATTCAGTTGACATCATGATAGAGTTACAGGGACAGATAAAGTGACTCATTGGCATTGTCTTTGTCATGTTTCGTATTGGTTTGTGCAGGTGACCCAGAGGGCGGCCAAATACTAACGGAATGCTTATGGAGCCCCAGGGTGACATAGAGCAGACTGACCCCCACTTCACATCTGAATGCTTGTAGAGCCTTGGGATGCTGCCTATGAGATCTGAGGCTGTGGGAATAAAAGGAGACTTTGTGCTTAATTGACTCATAGGGAAAGTGAATGGAGAAGAAATAATGCTCAACAGTCCTAGGAAAGTCAGCGGTGATCCTTGTTGCTAAATGGCAAAGGAAGGCAGTCGTCACCATGAGAGGAGAGCAGGGAGATTAAGGATGGCTATGGAACACAAATGGTCATGTGGTGATGAAATTTACTTCTAAGTGTATATTATCAGGCATACATTCATAGTGTTTAATATTCCATTTAAATTACTAATAACATGCCCTATAAATGTAAGATACTAAATAGTGTCAAATTAGTTTAAATTTTGCACTGCCTGGAAGAAAATATGTAATTACTGAACAGTGGAAATGTGATTGTTTATAGTCTTTAAGCATTACTACACTTAATGCATCACATTTGTTATGCTTTCAGAATTACTGGCTTATGGTTTTTAATCTTTTCTTAACTCTTCAAATTCTGAGTTTCTTATGACTCTTTATTTTTCAATGCCCTTATTAAGAATAAACTATTTTATCTTCAAAAAGCTATGTAGGCTAATAGTCTGCATATAAATGGATTTAATTTTGACTTTCTTTTATTTATAATCTTTGTTCAGTAATGTAATACTTAAAAAGTATTGAAAAACATTGTAAAAGAAGGAAGAAGACCTACATGTAAAGAGAAATACAAGTGTCAGGATATACAGTTGAATAATGAAAGCCTTAGACGGTTCAAATCTTGTTTTATTATTAAAATACCATTCCAGGCGACTGGAGAGATGGTCCAGCAGTTAAGAGCACTGGCTGTTCTGGCTGAAGACCCAGGTTTGGTTTCCAGCACTCACACGGCAGCTAACAACCATCTGTAACTCCAGTTCCAGGGGATCTACCACTCTTCTGGCCTTTGGGGGCATTTCACAGCATGAATGCATTTACACGGGTTCAGGCAAAACACTCATACATATAAAATAAAAATAAATAAATAAAATTAAAAAATTTAAATGTCATCCCTGGAAACTATTTTACTTAGTAATAAATTTATGGAAACATCACGTAAATATTTTCATATTGATGAATAGTTTCTCAAGCCAGTTCCTAGAAACACAAAGCTTCGGGTCTACTTTTTTGTCTATTTTATTATTGCTAATTACGTTCCTTCACTAAAGAATTTCCCCTTAATATCCACATTAAAATCTCAAATAATATTTTCCAAAAGAATGCATATTGATAAGAAACATCTACTTCTAAAATCAATTTTCTTTTTCATTTTATAAGAAAATAATTTTCAGAATTAATAAAAATATGGTACCAGTGGCGTTATCTTGTCACAGAGCTAAAAGTTCAATGTAGTTCTAGGCTGTGCAAATTTGGTCAATGTGATCACATCAGGGGAAGGTATCTTTGGTAGGGTGGTCACTGGTTACTATAGTGAGGTTGCCTTCTGTGTTTTCAGAGCTAGAGATATGTATGATCCTAAGTACACCATGCATAGCCATTAAAGGTTAAAAAAAGACAGCAGGGGCTTGGTTCCAACTGCTTAGTAAACAAACGTCAAAAGATGTTTATTAAAGCTGGCTCTCAAGTGACAGATAAATGCATAGTTTTATTATGCATGCTAAATTCAGCACCTGCAAGCTCAGAAGCAGATAGATCAAAACAAGGGGGATTTTTAAAAATCATAAAGACAAAATGCACCAGTGTCAGTACAGGATAGGAAGATAATTTCGCCTTAAAAATTATGTCCCTTCAGCCGCCCCCCACCAAGAAACGTAACCATAATTTATGAATTAAGTTAAAAGCAAGTTAGGAATACACCATTTCTAAACTTGCTTAGTGTCAAGCTTTGTTCTTTTAAAACCATTTAAGGAGGTTTTTATTAAGCAAAGGTGCCACTGAATCCTTTAAACACACACATCCAAGCAGACAAAGAACGCTGCAGCACACAATCACTGACGCATAATTCTTATTTATTAATGTGCGATGTTTACGTCTTTAAAAAAATGAAACTAAAACAAAAATGCACATACACGAAAGACTTTAAACAGACTCTGGTACGGTTTTCCCACTGAGCTTCCAGTGAATGGTTTTTAGAATTCCCTTGCTCAACATTTGCATTAGACTTTTTTCATTCAGTGTCCAGAACCATATTTACAGCAAAACGTACAATATTGCAGACACTGGCCATGAAACCTTCATAGGACTAATGCTTCAGTTCCTTGGTCGTTGGGGACTTTGTGGAGATGCCAATAAATCTGAAAGTTCACCCCACTGTGCCTCTTAACCTTTGTTTCCCAAAGGAAAAGGGCAAGCCTGTTAATCAGGTAGCAGTTTATCTTTAATTAGGTATTATCACCTAACTGCAATTACTGCTCGCCAAAGTCAAGTTTGGTGAGCAGTGACCCGTGATGGATTACAGTTTCTCTCTTACTGATTTTTTCACTTGTATTTATATTTGGCAGACAGCCAATAAAATTTAAAAGGCAACCACCATAGTTCTCTGCAGTCTAAGTGTCAAAGTCACCACTTTGCTACTAAACAATAAACTAAGATCTTCTCTCAACCACATTTAGCTATGTCTGTTTCCTGCTCAGACACCAAGTGTAAATCAAAATAATTGTATAAAAAAATCCCATGTGAAATATGTTGGGCAATCATTCTACACTTCATGTCTGGACAGTTAAAAACAGTTTAATGTCCCAAGGCACCACTATGGTTGAACATCAGATACATGGGGAATCGGCTAATCTACTATGCTGTAAAGTCAGGAAATAGCTTGTGCAGTTAATCTCTAGAGACCGTTAAACATACAGAAGGCGCGTGTATCGTAATACAAATAGAAAACAATGAATCTAGAAAAAGCATGTTGAGCACCCTTGCGGCATTGTTTGTGTTTCTTTAATGCTATGTAAACCTTACATTTACAAAATGAAAGACTAAGGTTTTAAAGTTACGCTCAAGGTTGCTTTTTGTGCTGTTTCCTCCTAAGTGAATCTAGCTCATACGCGTACTTTGAGACGTCGTTGGGTCTTGGTCAGCTTCTGCTGCACTGGTCAGTTCATTCAAGTGTGAGCTCAAGTTTTCTGAAGTCAGATGGGAAGACTTGTAGACAATCTCGTTGAAATCAGACCTAATGCAAACCAAAGGAGGGTCATTCAATGGGTCTTCCACCGAGACCTGGGTGTTCTCTCGGGTCATTCCCATGTCTTTACTGTGCTCCGATGGGGATTTCCTTTTCATGCGTGTGTAGGTCTTGTCTTGATTCTCCATGCCTTGTTCATTTTTCAAAAACCGTCCAAAGAACCAAATGAAGAATCCAAACCACACAAAAGCTATCAGACTTGGAACAAAAGCCAGACACTTGACATCCAGGCTAGCCCCGATGAACCTGCTGTGTAAGAACATGTCTCCCTCCACATAGGTTTTATTAGTCTGAGGATTAGTGTGATTGGACCTCCATTCCCACGATAGCTTGGTTCTGTTTAAATCCTTCAAACTCTCTGAGTCCTTTACTGTGTATATCTTCTGCCCTGGGCCAATGTACTGTCCGTATTCGTGAGGTTTATAAAATATTTGGTTCTTCCACATATTCAGATCCAAAATCAAGACGAGAAAGATAATTCCGTAGTTAAACCATTTACCTGCATTTAAAAGGAAATATTGAATTAATCAAAGGCTGATCAAACTACAGTAGCAGTTAAGATTTTCTCCAACAAAACGAAGATAATGGGATAATTATATAAATTGGTAATGAGCTAGACCTGTGAACAATTACTTTTTTGATAGTGCAACGCTACCATAAAGTGACCTGGCAAAGGAAACAGCTAATGCGTTCTAAGCCTTCGGCAAGGTACCTAAAGACCTCTGAGTCACATGATACTTATAGGAATAAGATTAATTCTCTGTTTTACTGGTATCACAGCTCTACTCAAAGTTAGTCAGAGGCTACTTTCTAGAACAGTTCAATGCCTGTTGAATTCTAATGAAATTCTTAGGGAAGTCTAATGTATGACTGAACATTTCTTACGGTTTTATAATTAGGTTTAGGGAAGAAAAAAATCATTTTGTGATGCAGAGTACAGCATTGTAGCAGTTGAATTCACACCGCTGTTTGGAAGGAACCTGTTGATTAAACTATCAGTTGATGTGATTCAGATCAATAATCCTCAAGTATTTGTTTCAAGACAAAAATAATAACACCAGGTGTCCATGGAACACAATGAATTTATGAAATCTAAAGCAAAGCTAATGGAACACGTGACTTGGAAGATACTATTAACATTTCATTATCGCATTTAAAATATTACATAAGTAAGATGTTATTTGGTGATATATGATTGAAACACATCTATAAATGCAAAGAATGTGAGAAACTTTCCAGGAGACTCTCGATTCTATTATAACTGTTATAATTTATTACAAGCTTTATAACATCAGGTATATCATAATTATATAGTAATATCTCCCTCAAGCTTGCTATACCAAATTAAGTGATTTATGAAACAGATTCTAGAAGCTTTAGTCACAATTTTATGTATAATTCCAAAACTACTTTCTTTATACTTTGAATGTAATAGTATTGAACATTATTATCTATTCCACATGATTATGCATTTTGCAGATATACTCCAGCACACCACATAGCTATGTGAAAAGAGACACATTGTAAGGACAGAACAGCGGTTTGTCACGACATTCCGTATGTCCAAACCCTGTGGGATGTAAGTCTGAGTGGTATTAATTCTGGCTCCCCAATTTACTTGTTATATGGTTTATGTCTGTTATTTAAATTCTTTAACCTCAGTTCATTCACATGAAGAAAATAATAGTATTTATTAAAATTAACATTACATGAGATTATTAGATGCCAAGCACAGCACTTGTAGATAATGACTCAGTAACTTTTTAAAATAATTGTTAGTGTTATTATCAAAGCCTTGCCTGAACCATGGTAATCTCTTCTCTGAAGGAGAAACTGCCACTTGCCGTGTATGAAAGAATTTAGCTAAAGATGTTTTGTTAAGCTTCTCTAGCTTGACTTTTCTCATGGTTGAGTCTTAGTGTGAACATGCTTTAGTTTCGAAACTAAAGACTGTCTTGAACTTGGTTACCATGTTGGAACACAGCATTCCCAATAGTCCAAGTCGCTGTCTAATTTGGTGTGCAAAAAAAATCAAATACAAAGATAAGCATTGCTTTTAAACATTCTCTGAGGTCGTAATGCACAATGCGGAGCATGCACCAGTAGCTGGCGGGACATACTTCCTCCTTCTGAGGGGAATGTGTCATCTTGTTGGGGAAACAGGACAGATATATTCACAGACAAAAATATTTGAGAGATGTCAAATGAGCAATGTAAATTATAAATGCTACAGGTGTTGAGAACATGAATAAAAACTAAAGAAGATTTTGGAGGAAGTAATAATTCACGTGCTCTTTGAAAGAGAGCCAAGACTGAGAACCCTGGGAAAGTTCGGCTTTCTTTCAGTTTATACTTTTATTGTGCTATAGAAAGATGAGCATCTGCAAAAGATGAATTGATGTAGAAAATAGGAAACAAGAGAAAGTGGGGGGTGTGATAGGAAAATAAGTCAGGAGAGGGGTGAGAGGTGGAGCAAAAGAGGTCAGCGGTGTTTGTCCAGTCCTGAGGGGCACGTGTCTGAACCTGCCGTGACAGAGCAAGTTGCAGAGGGTCTCTGAGAGCTTTGAGGCAGGGGATTCATACTTAATCCTTTGTTATAAACTACATGTGTTACAAAGCCAGGGAGAGATCTTTCAGCTTGTGTGACTGACCACAACTTTCTTTACTCCAACACGATGCTTAGAGTGATGTCTACTTCTCAGGTCCACTTAAAAAGTCATGACTAGGGAGATCCTACTTAAAGGATTCCCTGTTTCTATGGTAAACAGCATATCAAAAGCTGGAGTAGCATCATCTCTGAATCAGGGAGGAGAAAGAGGGTTGCCCATGGGGGCCAGAGGAGGAGGCTTCCTAATGCTAAAAAAGATGCTCAGTGTATGTTAGTAAAAAAAAAAAAAATACACCAAACAATTAATCCAGACACTGACCAAACCAAGGGAGAACAAGGGGACCTTTTCTCTATGCTCCTAAGTAATTTCCCTCCAGTTCAGTAGCGCTGGGTTAGTCCCACCACTTAACTCTCACACCACAGATGTTTTTATTTCTTGGGCGGCATGATGTGTAAGAGGAACAAGACAAAATCGTGTTGCCCAGTTTTAGTCTCATTGGCTTCACCAGTCTGTGAGAAGAACAATCGGACAGAGCCACAGGCTGGAAGGCAGTGGATGCAGTCCTCAAGGCAACATCAAACTGCAAAGATGACATCTAGGCTAAGCCTCTCCTGTCTACATTATTTTCAATTTGAGGAAAGTGAACCATTTCTCTGACTCTGCCTTCTTCCTCCCAGTCCTTCTGTTTATTATCTGTGGGTAGAATCCAATCTTTTATTGGAGAATAAAGAATGGAGAAATAGTATCAGCGAAATGGAGAATAATATCAGTGTAACTATCTCACAGGATTTTTTGTGAGGATAAAACTAGAGGTTATATTTCAATGTTGTCTAAGGTGTATTATATTTGCCAAAAATGTAGCATAGGATTATTTATCCAATTTATCCAATTTCTTTTCTCTACTTTGTCAGTTGCAATAATACAGGATCTTACTGATAGAGAGACAGAAAGGCATGGTAGGGTTGTGACAACCATGTGACAACCTTCTAGCCTAAAGGTGATCATGTTTTTAGTTCTGATAAATTATCAATTATTGAGCACTTATATCTATAGATTTCACGTAATCAGTTATACAATGAGACCCACCATGTAAATACACTTTGATAGTGTGTACTTGTGCTGGTAGTGGCTCTCAGAAAAGATCATTCATATATGTATTGGGGCTACACAATGGGGGATACTGCCTCTGTCTCTGCCTCTCCCCAAAAGCTGAGAGGCCACGTGGGGATTGAGGTGCAGGGAGAGACTGAACTGGGGCAGGCTCCCTGAGACATCCAAGTCCTTTAATTTCCTGTGGGTGTAGCAGTATTTTTCCTCCACTGCAATGGCTACTCAGTTGCCTCCTGAGCTGATGAACGCACAGAGACATGGCCCTTATTCTCTCTGTTGCCAACCACTTGAAGAACTTCTGGTCTATTTGTCTGTGGGCACACAAAAAGAATGCCCATCTTTAATCATCCATCCTTTCATTTCTGACACAGTATTTTGTTACCTTGGTAATGCCTTTTCCTCCTAAAAACCCCTTTGCCCTATGAGATACAGCAAACCTCAAAGTCAGTCAAGGCAAACTCAATCCCGGTGTTAATGCTCCTGTGTGAAGTGAGGGAGGGGAGCTGTCCAGGTTTCTTCCCAGCCTTCAAAGTCTCTTTGATGAGTCTGTGAAATTAACATCTCCAGAACCTGGATGCTTTAGGATGAGCCAGAAAAGCTCCCCAATTAGAGCAAGAAATGGATGAAATAGAGTTTTCAGAGGAAGAAAGCTGTACTTATTTTGAGAAACACTGTTTACCATAAAAAGTAAATTTGAATCTCTGGAATGGCTCACGTGAAGTGTGTAAGACACAGAAAACAAGAGAAGAGAAAGTGTGCCTGTTTCCCCCAGTATGCTGTTGTGAATAACTGATCAGCAAGAGCTTTAGAATCTCAGCATTAATCATTCGGGAACATTTGCATTTTCCCGTTGTTTCAACTATACAGCATAATATAAATCAGGGAGGAGGTAAGGTGAGAATCCATACATTATTTCTATTAATCCCCACATTGAAATAGCTCACTGTCTTTTTTAATGAGAAATCACTGCATGATGTTGGTGGGATTATTTCTTTCTAGTGCTTTGTGCTTTTAATGAATCTTATTGATTGTCAAAAATGATATTATAATCGAAAATTTATCTCTTTACTTTGTGGGAGTTTGTAGAATCCTAGGATACTGAATTCCAAAGGATCTTCATTAACTAACTGTCTCCCTCATTTAACATATGAAATGGCAACAATTTGGAGGAAGATGTTATTTTTTTCGGCTGAGGAAAAAGACCATAAAGTGCTGGTATTTTTACCGTATGATGAACCTTTCATGACTCCGATGTGCAGCTATTCTCTCTTGATCACGTACTTGGTGTGGTTTCCAGCTGACACTGCGCGGTAGAGCTATTCTATAAGCATCTCTCTACCTGGTGGGTGGTATACTACGGGGCAGGTGCATCTGAGATTCATGTTGCACAAAGCCATTTGGCATCCATGATGGGACAGCAGGAAATGGTGGCCTTGAAGGTCAGTGCTGGGTAAACAAAAGAACTGCAATGTGCTGTGTCAGCAATCATGGTCATGTACGCGCTCCTCTTATTCCAGGCGCAATGATAAAACTGGGCTCACTGAACTAGCACTTCCGCATCACCCCCTAGGTAATTTAGGGATGTGTGGAAACCAGAGTAAGTGCTTAGGTCCTGAGGAGACCACTTAGTAAACTGGAGGTATGCATTAACTACTTTATGAATTGACAATCATTTTGAGTTAGTAAGGTACCTACTTAAGACCTAACAGCAAATTGCCATAGAAAGTGCCTGTCTCCTCATTGCTACTTTCTAAATGAGAGACTCTTCCTTCAGGATGTA